CAAGCTTCAACATATCTATTTATAACGCGACTTTTGGTACACCCCGTATAGAATTTTACGAAACTTTGTGTTCGAGAATTCACGATAGACAGCGAAGTGGAAACTCAAACCACGCGTTTTTAGATTGCACGAAACATTTTTACCATTTTCTGATAAAATGTTCACCAGAAAATACGAAACATTTCTACATTCAAGCTTGTTTTATAAATTACAACACTGGTTGCAGTTTCTCGACAATTGTTCTGCTTAAAGTAGTGAAAGTTTCTGGGTTTTTGAAAAACTTCGTCTAGGAATCTTAAATATCCGCTAGTGCGAAATTAGTTTCGTAAAATCTGCTGAACTTATTTTTTCCGTGTAGTCAAAATACTCCATCCGCCAATTAGCAGACAATTTTTTTTTCAAGTTTTGCAAAAATTATAAATTTTTAGTGGAAATATTAGATTTTAGTCAGATAGCGGTTTATTTTCGTACAATTTTTTTGTCACTACTAAAAGCAAATTTTAGTTAGAATTTTTTTGTTTAAAAGTATTTTTCAATTAGACTACTGTTTCCTTTGATATAAGTTTTATTATCAGAAGTTATAAAAAAAATTATAGTCACTCTTTTCTTTTAGGAAATTAATTGATTTCTATTCTAGTCATTTGTTTAATTTTATAAAAATTTTATCATCACCAATATAAATAATTTTTAAAAATTTATTTTATATATTTTTTTTTAATTTCTTTTTAAACAGTTACTGCTTTTCTTTAATTGTATATTTTACTTATTTTTTAATTCGATGGAAATATTTATTTTCTTAAAAAAAGAAAAAAATTCTCAAGTTTATATATTGTAATTTTTGTGAATTATGTATGCAATTTTTATCCGTCAATAATGAAGGTACTTTAAATCTGTGACATATTCTTAAGGAAACAAACATTTAGAGTGAATATTTTCTAAGTTATTTTTTCAGCAAAGAATTTAAAAGGAACATGTTACTTGAATTTTCGTTTTACTTGGATGACATCAACGCTATAGGTGTATGTAAATCGAGCAAGTTTTGCATTCTTCTTTTTCACAAAAGTTGTTCGCGACTAAGATCTCAGGGGACGTGTAAGATCTAACTGAATGAAGCCTGGGAACCATCAGGACATTTTGTGAAAAAGTTTCTATTTCTACTTATATAGCTCACCTCCCCCCCCCCCTCTCTCTCTCTCTCTCTCTCTCTCTCTCTCTCTCTCTCTCTCTCTCTCTCTCTCTTGGATTTCAAAAGTAATTTTACATCGAAATTTTTTGCCGCGCTAGATCTTTTATTTACTTTTGATATTGATTACAATTTTTTCTGCCGAAAAGAAAATTTATTGCATAAAAATCCAAAAAATTTAAATTTTAAAATATAAAATTAGAATAAAAATTCTTTTGACAAAAAAAAAATTGTTTAAAAATATTTTTTAATAAATCAAAAAAACTAAAATTTATTTCATTAGCAAATTGTGTAAAAAGAACAAAAAACAGAATTTGAAAAATTAATTTAATTATTTCGCAATATTTCTTGTTTAAAACACCGGAAACTTGATAAATTTTCAAGCCCCGCGACATTTTGTATAATAATAAATGTATATGAAAACAATGAATTTGTGGGGCTTCGAGAAGAATAGAAAATTTTCTCGTTTGTAAAATCACATCAGTCACGAACTGCCAGTTACAACTCGCATAGTCTTTAAGCGCCTTAATTTAATTGGATTAAATTCAAACGACACTTCTCTTTTTTCTAGCACAAAGTGCTTTAAACTCTTGCGTTCGAAAAGTCTCGAATAAGGCCAGAAAGTATTGAAGTCGTTATATTGAAAAACTCATTCCAATAATAAATTCGCAGCGACATTTTATTATTTTCTTTTTTTTGCTTCTTTTCTTAAAAAAGAAAAAAAAATTTCATCATAAGATACCACACAGATGGTTCCATTTTAGTGATAACTAACCAATTTAATATCGAAGTTTCTTTTTTTTGTTGAATTTATTTATAAATAATAAAAAGGGGCGAAAGGAATTTTTAAATTGAATTTTCTTACGTATTCTCGACAAGTTTTGTAAAAAAAAGTTCGAATGGTTTCGATAAATTGAATATAATACGAGAGTAAAAGCGTTAAAAGGTAATAAAATTTATTATAATATTTTATACAAAGTATAATTGAATTGTATTATTATTATTTTTGAATTTAAAGGAGGAAAATTTAATATATATTAATTTCCTGTCTTGAATTTTAAAAAGAAAATGATCGCGATTCGTTAAAGATAATGAGGAATGTTTTATAACCCGGATTACGGTATATAAAAAGAACTTTAGGAGAAAAAAATGGAGAAAGGGACAAACGACCTTTTTTTTAGTCGTTATATTTTAGATATCAAAAAAGGAAATAGCATTTTTCTTGAAAAAAAAATGAAATCATTTTTAAAATACAAAATTACTTATCAGTAGTATAAATAAATTATAGTCAGACTTTTTTTTAGTAGAATGAAGCGATTTCAGACCAACAATCGTAGAATATCATTTATATTTGATTTTCCTTACTATAAGCAATTGTTAGTTTAATTTTTAAAAATTTTAAGTAGAAATAGACCATTTTAGTCAGACATGTGTTTAATTTCATTTAAATTTTAATTTTTGAAAGTAAATTAAATAGTAATCAATTTTTTTTAGTAGAAATAATCGACTTTAGTCAGACTGCGATTTACTATTATTTTGCAACTACTAAACTATTTATCAGTAGTATAAATTAATTTTAGTCAGACATTCTTCGTTTTTTAGTAGAATTAGTTAGTTTTAGTTATCCAGTTGTTTAATTTCGTATAAATTTAATTGTCAGTAGTCGAAATGAATTATAGTCAGACTTTTCTTAGTAGAATGAAAAAATTTAAGTCAAACTATAATTTACATTTTAAATAATTACAATAGTATCTATTAGTCAGAAAGGGGATTAATTTTAGATAAATTCTATTATAAGTAGTATAAGCAGATTGCAGTCAGATTTGGAAATTTTAAGTAGTAATAGTAACTTTTAGTCAGGCAGTGGATTAGTTTTATATAAATTTTATTATCAGTAGTATAAGTAGATTGTCAGTAGTATAAGTAAATTGTTGTCAGACTTTTTAAAAGTAGAAACAGTCAATTTTAGTCCGACATCCAGTAAATTCCACATACAACTTTTATTATCAGTAGTACAAGTAAATTGAAGTCAAACTTTTTTTTTACAAGAAACAGTCAATTTTAGTCAGTCAGACACTTAATTTCTTATATAAATATTATTTTCAGTAGTTCATGTAAATTGTAGTCAAACTTTTAATTTAAAAGTAGAAACAGACCATTTTAGTCAGACGTAGTTTTAATTTAATTTAAATTTACTAATTCTACTTATTTACTAATTTTTACTAATTTACTAATTACCAGTAGTACAATTAAATATTAAGTCAGACTTTTAAGTAGAAATATTCAATTTCAGTCAGACATCGCTTTAATTTCATAAAAATTAAATTATCAGTAGTATAAGTAAACTGCATAAACGCTGTAAAATAACAATATTCTACTGATGAAAAAAAGAAAATTATAACATTTAATATTAAAATTTTCTTTTCTTTTTTGCATATTTGAAAAATTGGTAATCGATCGATCAATGTATAAATGGAAATCAAGGGAAATTTTATGGTAAAATCGAGACTGAATTAAATACTGTAGAGTTTTAGTTAAAAAAAAAATATCGAACTATTTAGAAAAAGTTGTAGACTAGAATATTAATACAGCAAATACATGCGGGATGAAAAAAAATATTGCCTCGTGTATTTTCCCCTGGTATTATAAAGTTGTAATCCTTTCATTCAGCTTTACATGCATGTACCTGCATGAAAATGCCGAGTAATTAATCCCTCGATTAAAGCAGAAAAACGAATTGGGATTATTAAAAAAAAATCTCCAAGATAAAAAAGAAATATTGTTTTCATCAAAATGTTTATAAAATCAGATTTTATCAAACAATTTATTTATTTCTTTTATAAACGTGACAAGTTTGTCAACAAATTTTTTTTATTTTTTTTTAACGAAATTAGAAAATTTGACATATTACACCTAAAAATACTTTCTTGAGACTTCTTTTTCCTTTATCGACGAAATTTTCCAGAAAAAATTAAATTTGAAAAAAATTAGTAAATTTTACTGAAAAATAGTAATTTCTACTAATTTATTAGTAAAATTTACTAATTCAAGAGCAAAACTCTCTACTCGTTGCTTTAATTTCAAAACGTCCTGAATATTTTTATTTTGTTATTAAAAATTGGATTTTTTTTCGAATTAACTCAAAATTCAATTAATTATTGAATTTATCGCCATGACCTTTTGGACATTTTTTTAACTATTTTCAAAAAAAGCTAATTTTTCGCGGTTTATTTTTAACAAATCCGTCGTTTTACATTTCTCTTACACATAATTTTTTTTTTATTGTGAAAAAAATATTTTTCTTGAAAAAAACAAAAAATTATTTTCTCAAAGTTTTGAATGTTCAAATCAACGAATATTTTTCCTATTTAAATATTTTTAAAAGGCTACTAAAGAATAAAATGCAACTTAAACTAAATACAAAATTTAAAGAAAGAAATTAATTTTCTAAATTAAGAGAAATGTATTTTTTTTGCAAAATTCAAAATCTAAGGAAATATAAGAAGAAATTGTCGTTCATTTAAACGTTCGAATCTCTAGGGAGAAAAAGATTTTTCTGACTTAAATTCAAACTTTGAACCAAATTAAAATTCAGTTAAAGTTTAATTTTTTTTTGTTCAAAATAGAAAAAAAGTTTCTCATCGTTTCAAAGTGAAAACATCGTCCTGAAAAATACTTTTTTTTTGACTTCAACTGAAAACAAATTCAAACTCCACAACTAAATTAAAAATTAATTTTTTCCTTAAAAATAAAAAATCATTTCATGATCCATTTCAAAAAAAAAAAACTTTTGTCTTCGTAAACAACGTGTAATGAAGGTAAAACACTCAATTGAAAAGGTTGATCCCAGAGAATAAAGAGGATTAAGTGCCGGGCAGCGGAGAAAAGCAAGGACAAAAATGAAAAAAAAAAGAAAAAGAAACGAAGGAGAAGGATGGAGAAAAGGAATGAGGAAAAGAAATGAGGATAGGAAGAATGAAATTCGGTGTCAGGTTTGTGAAGGACTGTGTATACAACTCCAGTACTTATTGCGCAGGGCGTTGGCGTTGAGCAGACCACATTGAAGAAGAGAAAGTGCGAGAGAGAGAGATATAGATAACAGGGGGTGGTGGATATCAGGGGTGGGGGTGTGGAAAATCCTAGGGTGGGCAAACCGGAGACGAGCGTATCTCCCAGTCACTGTCGACACCGACACGCAATAACGTGAATTCTTGTGCGCACCCCCCTTTCACCCAATGATCAAGTGACCAAAAGAAAAAAAAATAAAATAAAATTTATTTTTTATTTCGGTTCTCATTTGAGTTTACAAAAAAAAAAAATAAAATTGGTTTTAAAATCGTACAAAAGTGATTTTTTAACATAATCTCTACTAATTTACCAACTGCGTGTCTTCTTTAAAACAAACAAACAAACAATAAAAATTGAAAAAATTGTGAGTAAATTTTAATGTTTTTCAGTGTTTAACGCTTCTGATTTTTGTTTGAGGATTTTTCTTTGTTTTCTTTAGGAATTTTTTTGAGGGGGGATTTTTTGTATTCTTTCGAGGAATTTTTATTGAGAATTTTATAGAGAATTTTTTTTTGTCGACTTTTTGAGGTATTTTATTGAGGTTTTTTCTGTTGGCTTTTTTCGAGGATTTTCTTGAAAGTTTTTTCTTCAACGAAAGTTGAGTATTTTTGAGGATACTTACGAATTTATATTTTTTGAGGATTTTTGTTAAGTATTTTCCTTACGTATTTTTTTGAGGACTTTGTTGTTAATTTTCGTTAATTATTTTTTTTGAACTCTTTTTTGATGATTTCTGTTGAGTATTTTTTTGAGGATAGCTTTCTGACAATTTTTGTTGAGTATATTTTTTTCGCGAGAATTTTTTTTTTATTTTTGTTGAGTATTGTTTCAGGATTTTCATTTAGGAACTTTTCTTCTTAAGCATTTTAATTTTTTTGAGGATTTTCTTAAGGACTTTTGTTGAGTATTTTTGAAGATTCTTGCGAACTTTTATTTTTTGAGGATTTTTTTCGAATTATTTTCTCGAGAATATTTTTTTGATTTTCGTTGAGTATTTTTTTGAGGATTTTATTTGAGGAATTTTTATTTTCAAAATTTGTTGAGGATTTTCTTGAGGACTTTTGTTGAGTATTTTTGAGGATTCTTGAAAATTTTTATTCTATAAGAATATTTCTTCTGTATTTTTCTTAAATATTTTTTTACGACTTTTTTATCGATTTTCGTTGAGTATTTTTGTTGAGTATTTTTTATTTGAGGTCTTTTTTGAGTATTTTTGTTGAGTATTTTTCTTTTGCTCTTTTTTTTGAGTATTTTTGTTGATTATTTTTTTTGAAGTCTTTTTTGATGATTTTTGTTGAGGTCTTTTTTGATGATTTTTGTTGAGGTCTTTTCTGATGATTTTTGTTGAGTATTAATTTTCACGAGAATTTTTTCTCTTTATGAGGATTTTTATTTTTAAATTGCATTTTCTTACCCTCTTTTTTTCTGCCTTGGGAAGCAAATTCGAAATTAAATTTCACTCCCGCGTCGTAGAGAGCAATGCGTTCAATTTGTCTTTGAGTCTAGCTCTTGAAGTTTCTTCTTCACTCCTGGCCATTAATTCGCAGAGAAAATGACATATGTGTGCGAAACTTTAGTTCAACAGGGAACTATTGCTGGAAAAGTTTTAAGTGACTTACGCGTTTTGTTCTTGAGCAAAAGATGTGTAACTTCACCTTTTCCCGCTAAAAATGACAGTTATTAGTCACCGAAGTAATTTACATTAGCAAAAGTCTTCTACTCGTATAAGTGAAGAATGTTAATTTCAATTTCAAAATGTTTTAATTAATTCAAATCGAAGGACAAAGTAAAAAGATTGCGATCGAAATGAAGAAAAAAATTGTTCGAACTGAAAAAAAATTAGAAACAATTTATTTTTTATTCCAATTTTTATTTATTTTATGTTAGTTAAATAATTTTTATTTATATTTGAAAAAGTGCTGAATAATTTAAAAAGACGATTTAGAATTCTTAATCCTCGGATCTAATTTGAATGCACAAAATAAAAATGAAAGAAATTTAAAAATTTATAAATACAGAAGAGGAATTAAAAATTCTGGTAAATTCAGATGAGTTTAGTTTGTCATACTTAAAGTTTAATTTTAAATTAAACATAGAAATTTTTTTTTAGACAATATATCTTCTTGCAGTGAAATTATAAAAGTAGAGTGTGCAAATATTTTCTGTCCAATTAAATTTTAAATTAAAAAAGAAAATTTATAATTTCCAATTAATTATTTTGCTTTAAAAAAAATGAATTATTAATTTATTATTTCGTTGAAAGAGAAAATAATTACTAATTTATTATTTTATTGGAAAAAAATTAATTAATAAATTATTATTTTATTGCAAAAGAAAAAATTAATTATTTTATCGGAAAAAAAAATTCAATAATTAACTTTTACCAATAAAATAATATTCCAATAATTATTTTTTTTTTTAATAAAATAATATTTCAATAATTTTCTTTTTCCATAAAATAATATTTGAATAATTATTTTTTTTCTTAAATTAATTACTAAATTATTATTTTTCTTTTGAAAAATGAATTATTAAATTATTAGTTTGGAAAAAAATGATTTTTTATCAAAAGTAATATACAATAAGTAAAAATAAATATTTGCTGAAAGGAAAAAACAATTGTTTACCAAAAAATATTTTCGCTTTTTTTAGAAATAAAGTTGAAATGCGAATAAATTTTTTAAACAAACAAAATAAAAATACAGTATTATAACATTTTTCTCTCTCTTTATAATAGAATGCAAATAATATTAATAATAATTATAACAATAATTTAATAATAATTGATAAATATTATAATAACAGCAATAATTAATTTTCTGGGTTTTAAATTGACCGACGTTTCTTCATATCTATTCTAATTTTCAAAAGTGCTTCCCCTATAGATATCGATTTTTCATTTCTCTCTTTAGTTTAAGTGTAGTCAACCAAGTTCAATTTCGCTTACGGAGCAAAAGCAATTTGTCTGCAATTCAAGACAAATCGTTTCGTTCTGAGATATTGGTGACCATTTCGCCATAAGGTTTAAGACACGTAAAAAATTGATTAACCACACCTCCTCTTGATGGTTTTTCTCAGTTTCTTTGGTGAAAAACAAAATTTTAAAATTGCCCCGAACAGAATGAAAACTTTTTGTACGTGACTCTCCATTACTTTTTGAGCTTTCGTACATTTATATATATATATATTGAACAATAGTATATATATATAGTACAATAGTATAGATATAGTATAATAATATATCTATATATAGATATAAAGTTGGACTTTTGCAAACACTATATAATATTGTCGAGAGAAAGAAACTGATGATATTATAAAAGAAAGTCGAAAAAAGAAAATTTATATTCAGTGCAATGGTGAATTCTTTAAAAACTCATCGTAAAGAAAATTTTCTTTTTCCATTTTTATTATTATAATACGTAATTTTCTTGTCTTGAATATATTTTTCTTCATGTTTGAAAAAACCATAATAAATATTATACATATCAAGGTTCTTTTGACTAATTTTTTCCATTGCATTCTTTTTTTTTTTTTATTCTCTATACTCAAAGAGAAATAAGGAGAAAAAAAATATAGTTTCAATTTTTTAACGGATCATTCTGCTTTGAAAAAAAATTTATATTTTCTTTTACGAAGGAAAATATTTTTTATAAAAGGATATTTGTCATTTCAAGAGAACGACATTTTTTCTCTTTTTTTATGGTTTTTCCTTTTGAAGGTTTACGTTTGTTTCTAAAACTATTTCTTTTTTGTGTTATTGGTTTTTTATTAATATTATTTACAAATATAGTCTTGAATGTAGATAATTATTGTAATTTTTTTATAATGTATTTTTGTATTATTAATTTCTATTTTCTATTTTTACTTTATACATTTTAATACTCTCTGTTTTATATTTTGTTTTCTATTTTCTGCTTTCTATTTTTTACAAATTCCTATTTTCTACTCTCTATTTTCTAGTACTTTCTATTTTCTATTTTGTTTATTATTTTTCTTTTCTATTTTTTATCTTCTATTTTCTACTACTCTCTATTTTCCATTTTTTATTTTATATATTTTTCTACTCTCTATTTTAGATTTTGTTCTCTACTTTCTGCTTTATATTTTTTACAAATTCCTATTTTTTACTTTCTATTTTGTTTCTTATTTTCCTTTTCTATTTTTTATTTTTTATTTTCTTCTACTCTCTATTTTCTATTCTGTTTTTTATTTTTTGTTACTCTCAGTTTTCTATTTTCTATTCTACTTTTTGTTTTCCATTTTCTACTGTCTATAATTTCTACATTTTATTTTTTTTTACTTTCTATTTTTTTCTATCTTCTTTTTTTCTACTTTCTACTTTCTATTTTTTATTTTCTATTTTCTTCTACTCTCTATTTGCTATTATCTATTTTTTATATTCTACTACTCTCTCGATTCTATTTTTTTCCATTTTCTATTCTGTTTTTTATTTTTTGCTACTCTCAGTTTTCTTTTTTCTATTTTGTATTTTGTATTTTGTATTTTGTATTTTATTTTTTGTTTTCTGTTTTCTACACTCTATTTTCTAATTTTTTTTAATATTTCCTATTTTCTATTTTCTTTTTCTATTTTTACTTTTTTATGTACTACTACTCTCTATTTTCTATTTACTTTTTTGTTTTCCATTTTCTACTTCTCTCTAATTTCTACTTTTTATTTTTTTTACTTTCTGTTTTTTCTATTTTCCGTTTTCTATTTTCTTTTTTCTACTTTCTATTTTCTATTTTTTATTTTCTTCTATGTATTTCTCATTTTCGATTTTGTTTTCTTTTTCATTTTCCGTTTTCTATTTTCTACTTTTTACTCGTTTCTATTTTATTTTTTGATTTCTATTTTTTATTACTCTCTAATTTCTACTCTTTATCTTCTACTTTCTATTTTTTATTTTCAATTTTAATTTCTATTTTTTTTGTATTTCCTATTTCTACTTTCTATTTTGTTTCTTATTTTCCATTTTCTTTTTTCTATTTTAAATTTTGTTTTCTATTTCCTATTTCCCATGTTGTTTAGTATTTTCCATTTTCCACTTTCAATTTTTTATTTTCTATTTCCTATTTTCATTTTCTATTTTCCCATTTGTATTTTTCATTTTCTATTCTCTAAAACATAAAAACATTTTTGTTTACTTTCTGCAGCGACAAGTTTTTTTGTTTAATTTTGATTGCCGCTTTGTTTTGTCTCTTGTTGTGAAGCAGAATTTCAAGGTGTCCGGCAAAGTTATAATGGCGGTGTAATCTAGTAAACAAGCGAGCTTTCCCAATCTAACAAAGTTTGTTCATGTCTTGAAAGCCAGCGTTGTCAGGCTACTGTGGGCATATTAATTACTTTGATAGGAAATAG